TCGATAAAACTTAGATTTACAGGTATATTGGTAAAGTTGCAGAAAATCGATTCAATCGATGACGATTATTATTATTTGTCGAGTGTTAAATAATTTATGAAGTGTGATTATAATCGTGTGAAGTGAATGCCAGTCGCTGATTGAGCCTTTACTGCGTGCGAAATGATCATAGTCACCTTATTGAATGTAACCTATATACTCAGTGATTATAGTCAACCTCTGAACGCACATCATGTATACAGCGTGATTGTAGTAATTCACAGAGCTTACGGTGCACTATCTGTAGCCATTGTAGTGATTGCAGTTATCTGTTAGGGGTATAATGTATATTAAAAATGAGTATAATCATTGATAATAAATATGGACTACAATCATCTACCATTGAGGACTAAAAAACGGTCGCATATGCACTTATATTATTACAGGCGTTCGTTACTTAGGGAGAACAACTATCAAACACTTTTGATTATCTTCCACTGAAACAACGAAAAATGTCTCTCGCTTTGACTCGCTTCGTTACTATCTTTCATTTTTCAACGTACAGGAATCTTCCATTAGTATAACGCCAGACTTAATCTAACGTAGACGTACACAACCTAACCTCTAAGTGACTCCGTGTCACTTGTAAAAAAACCACGTTGCAAAATGAAAAATTCATCTCTGACGATGTTTATTCCAGTACCATGTCCATAGCGAATATTCATAGAAGTATACATCATAGATATCCAAACGTATTCACAGACACTGAATTCTAGTAATAACGCGCCACCTTCAACAACCACCCAGTCGATACATTAATATCTAAAGAGAACAGAAAAGCACTTCGCGTTTTACAAAATAAAATATCTCACTCGACACGGCAACGTCGCAATCGAGTTCATTAAGCCGCTGATTTCTTTTTTTTTTTTTACGATAAATTTTTCGCCAGATACGGTGAGACGAGCACGGACTGGAAAACAAGCACGGGGTGGAGATTCGTCGAGCGGGAGAGCGATTCAGAGATCGAATAAGATGTCACTGGCCATCGTCCAACTTTTAAGACCCCCCATTATTTCCTCATTAAAGTTCTTTCGCCGGTCGGTTTTTGCTCGCTGCGACGAGTCCGCCGATACTTTTAGTAAATTAATTTTCTGCCACCGTCTGTTCTCAACTTAATGATCCTCCAAAAGAAAAAGCAATATTTATTGCGCGCGACTATTCCTACGCTCGTTTCTTCTGTCGCTCGGTCGGTAAAACAGCGACAGTCGGGACTTCTACCATCCATATTTTCTTTCTTTTTTTTTTCTACCTTCTTCTCTGTTTCGCTCTCTTGCACTCGTGTCCGTGTTTTTTCCCCCTCTCTTTCTCTCTTTCTCTGTGCGTCGTGTCTGATTGCTTCCTGGCCGGAGGAAATATGAGCGGACGTTTATAATATCGCGAAGCGGCGAGAGCTGAGCGGGCGATTATTTATGGTATTTGTCGAGCGTTGTTAAATAACTTATACGTTACGCGAGCAAGGTGAGACATCTTAATGATCCTTCGTGAAGCAAACACGAGAATGTTCCGGTCTCTCGGAGAGCTCAGTAAAAAAAAAATACGAAAAATGTATAGATGATGTAGTGGCGGAGAGTAACCCGGTGATTTCGGCGCAGGAAATTCCTTTGAAATTTCGTTTCATAAATATTCGCCATTATTTTTCCTTCGCGTTTGTACGATGTTTCACAGTGATTGAATGTTTTGGAGAAACCTTAACGACATTCTTTTTTATCCATGTGGTGTGAATAAGTGAGGTTAAGTTATGCGGAATAATACTGAGACTATAACCTATGATTGAATATTAATTATTAATGTAAATTAATTTTTCATTATAACGTATACCGTGTAGGAATTGTTTTAAGCTTGAATGAAATTATAAATTCCATTTCAAAATAAGAAATTATCACAGTCCTAGAATATGATGGATGGACAGAATACAAAGTTATCAATTAGGCAAATTTAGCAAGTTCGAGGGAAGTTTTGGCAGTCAACAGAGAAGCTGAATGACTGATCTGAGTTTCTTATCTCTACAATGCTTTGTCACTTGCATAAAACTTGTTAAAAATTTTCTATTCGAGATTTTCACAGTTGAAACATTTTCTTTTCTATTATCTCAAAAGTCAATCTTAAAAAATTTCCAATTTAAAAAGAAGCACACTATAACAAGAATCTCAAACAACAAACAAAATCGCTTTCACGACTATTCAACTTTGTAAAAAAAAAAGAAAAAAGAACATAACTTCAAATGGGTCTCGAATTAAGGAAAACGCCAATTCCGTGCCCGTCGCAACAAAACAAAGGAAAGAAGCGAAACTCGAGAGTGGTCGAAATTCGCCGAGCAACTTGTCCCCGTTCTCCTCCCTCCTCCCTTTCACCGAAATTACCAACTACAGTCCAACGTCCAGATCTCTGTTCGCGATTTTCCTCGATCGGAAAAACGGCCAGCATGCTGTGGCACAATTTGCTTCGTTTTCAGGCCGCGTAATTCCACCCCGCTGCTGCAACACCTGCCCACCGACGGCAACCCGGCAGAATCTTAAGCGGAAAATTCAATATTGGCGCTTCAGGGTTGGTATTGTTAAGTTCATGCAGCTGCTTAGTCCGCTTTCATCCGGCTACGCGAGCTAGCGTTATTCTTCGATGGTATTTTCCGCTGGAAAATCGCTGGTTGCGTGCGCCTGGTGCGTAGTTTGAACACTGGTGATAGTAGAATGGTATACAGGGAGACTTAGCTATGATGTTTGGTAATACTAAGGTGGAAACGCGTTGGAACAGTATTGAGAAATTCTAATGTTTATTTTACGGGAGGAAATTTCGTTTAATTTATCCGTGGATTTAGTTCAATTTGTTGGAAATTATAGTTTGTGTACATAGGAATGCAGTGGATATTTAAAGTCTATAAGTTGGCAGTACTGTATAGAGCCAATATGGTGGATTGGACAGCACTGTAAAATTCAATATGGCGAAATGGAAACATTTGACATTGTGTGATATTTGAAATTATATTTCTGTTTTTTAGGACACTCTGTATAATACACAATAATGCATAGAGTGTAATAAAAATTACAAGTGTTTTCGTTGAAGTAAAGGTTATGAGGAGTATTCTTGTCGAAGCAAAGGTTAACAGTGTTTTTCTCCCAATAAAGGTTAAAAATGTTTTCCTTGAAGTAAAGGACATGAATGTCCTTGACGAAGTAAAGGTTAGGAGTTTTGATGATGGTAGGCGAATTAACATTGTCTGTTTGATAGTTCTGACATATACCGGGTATTTAAGCAATCGTGGTCTCTTATGAAAAATTTTATTCTGCAATTTGGACTTATTTTTTCATAAGAAATCAGCCCCTTCTTGGTTTTACCACAATTTCTGGGACACCCTGTATATGCACAGATATAGAGGAATGTCAGAAACTAGATATAACAATGAAACAGAAATATGTACAAAATAAACAGTAGCAAGAGAAAAGATAGACAAAAAAAAGTCAATTTATCCACAAATGTCACCAAATGTATAACACAGGATGATTCAATATCGGTCTCCATAAATTTGTCCGCTTATTCTACGCTACAGGAGAAAACGGTGAAATTTGAATGAAAATCGATCACTGTATATCACTTTCGCAATAAAACTTATTTCATACATCAAGAATAACGATGCGAATTCAAAGCTCCCAATAAAGTAACCAGTGACATGTACCAACAACGTATGTACATTTGAAAAACTGAAACGGTTACAAATCCCCCAATCGTTACGCCTTAGCCCCCCATGCTAAATCTCAGAATACACAGTAAACAGCCACGCCGTCGCTGAATCGCTCTGTACTTATCCAACAGCACCGTATTAAATCCCTGTTTCGACGTTGCCCTTTTCATCACGGCGCAGGAAGGCCGGCTCTCGATACGGGAATCAAGATAAATATCGACGGTGATGAAAATAAAATTCTTGACGTAGGTTCGACGGGGCCGAGGCTTTAACCTGTCACCCCGACGTAGAGGTCGCCCCAAACGAAAGTGTGTTCGACGTGTGCTTGACGTGTGCTCATACGACCGTGTCCACGTTAACACGTTCACTGCTGATCGGACTTTCATTACATACACTAACGAAATGTATAAATTTATAAAGCGATGGGAAAAAATTATAACAAGTAGTGATTATTTTATTATATAAAAATATGTTTTAAGAAATTTCAGACTACTTAAATTTTCTACTGTAAATCCGCGCGAACATTTTTCCGGTACCTAATAGTTTTAAGTTAGGTCGATTGTGATTATTTTTCTGGTACCTAATTTTTGAGGTTAGGTTGATCAAACTGGAAGACAAATTTACATTTATTAGCAACCATTACAAATTATCGATAATTCACTAATAAAGTCTAATTGTATAGTTACTAAACATCATTGAAAACGCAATTTGCAAGGTAATAATGACGATTGTGTCCATTGTTGTTCTTACAGGCTCCCCCCGCCGCAGCAGCAGGTGACAGTCGGCTCTCTGGGCGGTGGTTTGGGAGCAGCCGCTGGAAATGGTGGAACAGGCACGGTGGGTGCTCAAGGTCAATCCATGGTAATGCCAGGATTTCCACTTCGTGCTGCAACGGTGCCGCATTATTCACCGTATTCGCCGTCACGTTTTCACATCGACAAACGGTGCCAGCACAGATGCTCCTGGAAGTGTTTCTCGATCGCGCTGATCCTCCTCGCTGTTGCGCTGACAGCGATGCTGGCTTACTTTGCCAGTAAGTAAACGAAATATAATACGGAATATTATTCAATAGACTAATAAAGCTTAACGAGGGCAGATCTTTCTCGTGAATTTTAAGTGGAGTCGATTTTCCCTTCATTTTTCATTCTCACGAATGAGATATTTTAACGCTTAATTTGGAAATTCTTTATTAACGCAAGACAGGTCGAATATTTAATCAGAATCAATAGTAATATACACTTTTTAATTGAAGTATAAAAACGCTAAAGAATAAAGAATCAGACGGGGAGAGAAAGTTAAACAGATATTGAAAATCTGCAAAGAAAAACTTTGAAATTAAATTAATTAATTAAATAATGACGAAAACATTTTTATTCAATGCTATTAACAACTCTGTATCATTAAAATAATCTCTAAACGCAACATTGAATACATCCATTTGACTACACCTCTTAACCTCAAAGTTTCACGCACGCAACACAATCGAAGAATTTCCCCTTTGCCAGTTTTCACCGTGTCATTCGATTCCATTGCACCAGACCAGGAGCAACAACACACGTTTTCAGAAATCTAAAGCAGAGAGGGAGAGATTCGAATTCAGTTTGCGGTGCGAATCGATGCACAGATGTGTTCAGAAATTCGACGATGCGGTCCGCGGTGACGCGAGAACGATCGCGATCAAAGGGTCCCGGCAGTCCCTGCGCGCGGGAATCAAAATACAGTTAATTCATCTATTATGTATGAGTAGGTTCGTCGATCGGCCGACGGATGGCTCTTATTTACACGGCGCGCACCGTGAATTTATCGTCACTCCGCCCGGAAAATCCTTCTGCCTGTTAATCCACAATTTACGCTACAATAACTCATTATCAAGTTGCAGATTCGGTTAGGGACGACGAGGTGCTCCGTCGAAATTCACCGGAACTTCGATTTGCCTAACTTACGATATAATCTGTCTATAAACGGAAGCCTCGCCCCCCCCCCCCT